GAATTCGTCTTGCTGCTGTGTGGCCTGTGTTGCACGCTTATCGGGAGCAACCCTCCGCTGGTGCATCGCCACTCCTTCACCCTACTCCATATCGGCAATGAACTCCTCAAGTGCTACTTGAACAGGTTGTAGCTCAATACCATTGTGCAACCAATTCACGCTCAAATCCTCATTGATGCTTGCGATTGGCATAAGCTTGGCGTTGTCGCGAATAACCACTTTGCATGACTTGTAGCTCGCAACAACGTCTTTGGGGTATAACTGCCTGATTCAATAAGGAACTTCTTCAGCTTGCTGACAACCTTCAGACGGCGACGTTCTTCGCGTGAACGATTCTCTGCGGCCCACAACTTTGCGGTTTGCATCCTGCCGGATGTGATGAGTTTGAAATTCGACTGTCCATGACCCTATTATCACAAACCACGAAGCGAGATCACGCGGCATGTCATTGAATCGGCAACGGGACGGGTTGTCCCATCATTGATTCTCCCTGAGGCGATTCTGGAGGGATACGAACCTCGGGAGTGGAAAAGAAGGCATCCTTGACAAGTCTTTTGCGAAATCTGCCTTGGGCATCGTCCTTCACAAAGTGTTTGGCTACGTTGCCCCGGTTCAAATTGGCAAACAAGGTCAGGGTCAACCTGATGCCCGTAGGCGGCCCATTTCTACAGCTCCACCGCTCCTGCGATCGAGTGCCACCGACGCGTGTGTAACCCGCTGGTCTGCCTTGCTTTCTCTCGCAGGCGCCCGTGCTCCCGCAGTGCCTCCCACTCGCGCACATTGCCAACGTTGATGCGGGCGTACCCCTTGGAGTTGAATGACTTCTCGGTGCTGCGCACGAGGCACCTCCCCTTCTTTTTTTTTCCAACGCACCTTTTTCCCGCAGGACTGGTCTCGGCGGCTACCCCTTCTTTCCCCAGCCGTTTACCTCTGTGTTGCTGAGTGGTCCTGGCATTCGTGCCCTTTTTGGCTGGACTTCACGCCGTATTTTGTGCACTGGGACCGCGCGCAAGACTTCTTCGGGAAAAGGAGCTGATTTCATGAATTCACGGGGCAGGGCTGGGGGTGGGGAACTTAATGCCCATATACCGTGATCCAGCCCAGGTGGGTGCCCCTACCAATCCGCTATGGGCTTCTCGTCATAATCATGCCACCCCTGATCCTTTCCATCTTGAATTATTTCTTGCAGTGGCGTCCCACTTGCTATACGATATTTTATCTTTCCTCCGCTTTTTGTTACCAGAAGTCGGAGCGGTCCAGGCGCACAGAGCTACGACTGCGGAGCAAACGCAATTCACGGGCTTAGGCGAAGCCGGCAAGCGACTGGTTTCCGGCGCCACGAGCCAGCGTGCAT